AACCTTGGGTCTCTTTCTTTCGTCTAAAAATAAGACATATTTAAGAAAACGTTAATGAAAATATATTATTAAAAAAATGCGTGGTGGCAACGAAGAGCTATAGCACTCGAGAGCTACTCTCAATATAACAATAATAAAACATGTAGAATGAATGCCGGTGATTAATATAGTCAAGTACCTGGTACTGGTACCTCGTACTAGAGACACCTCCGGTGATTAATATAGCAAAGTACTGGTACCTCGTACTAGAGACACCTGGCCTCGATTATTTACCAATTACCAGCTGAACGTTGCCACTGGCATTGTCCTATTATAATTATACTGCTCTAGCTGTAGCGATAAATGTTGTCAATGATAAACCTAACAGTTGTTTTTATAATCTAGACTGCATGGAATACGCAAGAAAACTACTGCAAACCTCAAAGTCAAAATGAGCTAATAACTAATGTTTATAAGCTATTTTCGATATTAAACTTCCTTAAAAGTGTGCTAGTATAGTCAGCCTCTCTGAAGTAATCGCTGCAGACTTTACGAAGGCATTTTAACTTGGTTATATCGCTATGATGATACGATCGGCTATTCATGATTCCTGTATCTTTCCAACTGACCAGTTGATTGCGCAATCGTTGTAACACCTCTAACTCCCGCTGCGCCACCTGCTGACAAAGCTAGCAACTAACCCCATTGTATCATCAGAAATGCACAACATCAAAAGGTATCGAAAAACGCACTTGGTATCATGTTTTCCCGATAACATGCATGTAAGTTGTTAATGCAAATTGTACGTTTTTTTTCTGAAAACGTTGGAAAAATAGGAAAATTTGATTTCTTGTTTATTATGTGAAAAACAAAGTGCATTACCCTGCGTTACAAATACTAGCCACACAGAAAACTTATGTAACATCTTATACAGATGTTACACACTTTTCATCATACATATTCAGTAGATTTTGATTATAAAATTATATTACCGTCGCCACACGCATCACCGACTACAGTGGCGCCACATAGGTGACCATACTCCGTGCTGGAATGATTAGCAGACATTGTTAGTGACCAATGTCGCTTTCCCAACGCAAATAATGAATTAACTAAACTACAACAATAAATTTTAACGCTATGACTATATGATCGAATTACATACATCCCTCCCCCCGGATCGCCGATGACGACGACCTACCTGGAGGTATCGAGACAGCCACAGATGTACATGCACGTGTAAAAACCTCATCCGAATTTCCACGAAATAGTCGCTATCCATCTGCTATATTTACAATTCATCAATCATACGTTGTTTACGAGCGATTACAAACCGATTGATACCGGATTTAATGGCGTCGCGGAAGCTAACACGCCACGGCGCACGCTACACGAGGGATGAGCACGCACGGGTTTTCTCACGCACGCACGCACGCACGCACGGGTTTTCTCACCGCATTTCATACAGACGCGTGCCTTAACAACGTTATGGATTCATACTTGAAATCAGGTGACTAATCGGTCAAAATCTAAAATCAAATAAATCTAAAATCAATCATGTCATCTAATTATCATCATATCATCTAATATAAATCAGTCTAAAATCAATCTGAAATCCAAATCAAATCTAAATCAGGTGACTATCGCGAGCCGGCGACTACAGAGCAATGGTCGGGTATGAACACAGAAATTAGATTGAGTTTTAGGTGCTACGTTTCCTGTCGGCATAGCAACAGTAGAACACGCACACGCAGGTACGAACTCGCGCGCACACAAACGCATGCCCACACACACGCAGGTACGAACGCGCGCGCACACACACGCTAGGCAACGACATAATATCGTCAGTGTCGTAAGCTGACGCCACAAGTCGACGGAAGGTCACGATATACGATATATATATGTACATACATACATACCAAATACATGCAGTTATTCAATTAAAAATAACAACTGTTTCAGTCTCCCTATCTTCCCTGCAACGCGGCGTTGTGATGTCTCATTTCCCCGCAGCGTCGAATAAAATTATCTATACAGATATCTGTCGCTGGTCGGCGCTAGTGTCGAGCTTGAAAGATAATGCATGACGACGTACGAATAATCTAGTATCTTATATAATAATCTAGAATTTTCTGGAAATTATTCAATTAGAGAATTGTGCGCACACGGACCCCAGATTTGTCGTCTTATACTGACGAATTACTTAACAACGCAGCTTTACCGTCGCCACACACATAACTGAATACAGTGGCGCCGCCTAGGTGACCATACTCCGTGCTGAAATGATTAGCAGACATCGTTGGTAACCAACGTCGCTTTCTCAACGCAAATAATTAATTAACTAAGCTACAACGATAAATTTTAACGCTATGACTATATGATCGAATTACATAACCCCCTCCCCCCGGATCGCCGATGACGACGACCTACCTGGAGGTATCGAGACAGCCACGGATGTACGTGATCGTGTAAAAACTTTATGCATATTTTCACGAAATAGTCGCTATCGATCTGCTATTTTTACAATTCATCAATCATACGTTGTTTACGAGCAATTACAAACCGAACTAGACATAGTCCACTCACGGAGTGCATACTTCCGCCAACGACATACGCACACACCACGTACATACGACGACATACGCCATACGACTCACGAACACACAAATAACCCACGATATACGCCAGCGTACTGACATGTACACTCTCCCATTTAACATGTATGTGTTACGAGCTGGCTCGCTGGCTTGCTGACTCGCTGGCTTGCTGACTCGCTGGTTCGCTGGGTGATATCGATCGACCGCCAACGACATACGCCATACGCCTCGACGCGCTAATATCGATCGCGCGAACACACGAACACACTAACACACGAGAGCGAAAACATAACCTCCTCCAACTCTGTTGGGCGGAGGTAATGATACCGAATTTATTGGCGTCGCAGAAGCTAACACGCGACGGCGCACGCAACACGAGGGATGAGCACGCACGGGGTTTCTCATGCACGCACACACGCACGAACGGGTTGTCTCACCGCATTTTATACGAACGCGTGTCTTAACAACGTTATGGATTCATACTTGAAATCAGGTGACTAATCGGTCAACGTCTAAAATCAAGTCAATTTAAAATCATATTATCTAATCATCATCATATGATCTAATATCAATCTAAAATCAAAACAATTTAAAATCATATTATCTAATCATCATCATATGATCTAATATCAATCTAAAATCAAAATCAAATCTAAATTAGGTGACTATTTCGAGTCGGCGACTACAGAGCAATTGTCGGGTGTAGACACGGAAATTGGATTGAGTTTTAGGTGCCGCGTTTCCTGTCGTCATAGCAACAGTAGTTGCTTTACTAACTAACTTCAATTACTTATCTGCGTTTATTTGACTAACGACTATAAAATCCGTTATATCTCATTTGGAATTTACTAGTGAATATATATATACTTACACATACATGCGCAAGCCCCCAAACACGCGCACGCACACACTCGTGCGCACACATGTACACATAAATACACGTACACACGCACGCACACAATCGGGCAAAAGGTAGTACATAATACACATAACTAATATCTGCGAATGACAATAATAATTACTCGAGATCACACGTTTAATATGGAGAACGCAGACTCTCGTAGCGTTTTATGTGAAGATTTCCATCCCAATTCATCATTTATATTATTTCATTATAATACGCACACTGGATTCGCGAAATCTCTAATCCCTGCGATTCAGATAAAAATTGTTTGCAACTTTAGTTGCCGTTGGTCGGCGCCAGTGTCGCGCACGAAAAACAGTGTTTGGCCGAAAGCGAAATTTTTGCTATGTTGTTTAAATTATTTATTTAAATGAAAGCGCACATTCTTTCAAAGGAGCTTGTGTTACGAATAACATTATTTAATTATCGCTTGAATAATTACAACTTTGCAATATGTCACTAACCTACTTCTAACGAAGCATGACATTACGACATACAGCAAAAATGCTTTTCCGAAATTAAACGTCTAAAATAGAGAACACAGGCTCTTGTGACGGTTCATGAGAGTAATCTCAATCCCTACACCTCATCCTAATACTGCTAGGACGCCATTGCTTCGCGACTGCTCAATCCCCCGCAACAGCGAATGAAGAAGCGATGTAGACGTTTCTCTGCCGTTGGTCGGCGCTAGTGTCGCGTATGAAGAATTAATCTATGACGCCGAGGGAAATATAACGAATAACGATCTAAACTAGATGGCACACATGCTCTCGAAGCATTTAATATAAAGCATAACATCGCTAATGCCGCACGAGCAGTTTTCGTACAATGGTAACAACTGTAAGCCGAAACGAACCGCAGTAAGATAACTGCACGTCATTGATTTTTTTTTAACCAGCGAGAATGCCAAGATTTTCCAGCACAATTAAACAATTACAAAAACAATTGTACAATTAACCCCGTCACCACCGCACTGCCGCATCACTGCCGTCTCTCATACAGAATATCGTCTGACTGTCTCCATGAATGCACGTTTCTCTCATTACACTTAAATCTTTAGTTTCGACTGCTCAATATCTCTCTTTCTCTCTCTCTCTCTCTCTCTCTCTCTCTCTCTCTCTCTCTCTCTCTCTCTCTCTCTCTCTCTCTCTCTCTCTCTCTCTCTCTCTCTCTCTCTCTCTCTCTCTCTCTCTCTCTCTCTCTC